GGGTTCTGACGGGGGACGAAGGTTAGGGTGGGGCTTGGGAACTTAGGGTACCATAACTGAGCGTCACATGAAAAAAACATACGTGAAATGAAGACCCCGTCAACCCTCAACCCTTCTAGAAAGATTTGGGGAGACAAAGCTCTCATGACAGGGAAGACTTATCAAGTGCAATATACCCATTGGAGTCCTAGTCTACACTCCTAGCATCTCCTGAGTAAGCCCGTCCCCTATAGAATACCCTATAGAAACCCCCATTTAAGGAGTATAGACTATGGCACATATTAGGGTGATTTAGTTCAGGTCTCTTAACCGCAAACCAGTTTCCCTTGCGCACGCTGCCGGACGTCTTGGCAATGAGGCCAACCACAATGCCGCCCCAGCCCTGTGGCCAAGCAGCCCAAAACAACTTCATTGAGATAAATATGGCTTGGCAAGCACTAGGGCCCTTGAACCCTATGAACCCTAAACCCCGTAACCCCCAAATCCTATCAACCCAAAACCCTGTTAACCTTAAACCCAAAACCCTCTGGATGCGAGGCTGATGTCGGCTATGTATCACCCATTTGCAGTGTTGGACCCAACGAAAAGATGAAACCTTACCCCACCCTGTAATAGTGAGTATAAGGAATAGTACGGATTGTATTAGGGTCCTACTATATCCCTACTATACCACCTTTACAGCCTACAGACATGCTTCACCAGAAAAATGGTCCACATTGTAGCATGCATGGGCCATATGACAATTTCAATGCTTCTCAACACTTCTCAAAACTCCCAGGCACCACTCCCTAACTAGGACCACCACCACCACCACCACCACCACCACCACCACCACCACCACCACCACCACCACGGGATCCCATCCAAGTTGTCCCCTAAACCCTAAACCCTACCCGCTTCGTCCTGCGTAAGTATGGGAATGAGGGTCCGCGGGGTCCAATGGTCGAAGAGCCCCTCTTGCGGCTGAGCACCTTGGTGAATCATTTGAGCTATAGTCTAAACTCCTTGGGGGGGTTATATAAGGGATTCTGTAAAGGACTATTAAAGGGCGCATTTAGGGGGATACTAGGAGTTTAGACTATAGCTCATTTGAACTTGTCACATCCATGTCCCTATGCTGAAAATTGGGCTTTTAGTAGGGATCCTACAGTATACGCCCCTAAAAATAGTACTATCCCCCTGCGTGGCCCACCACCCCAAACAGGACCCCGAATTCTGGAAACCGCGCCCCAGGTTTCTGATAAGTATACCCATGCATTTGATGGACAAAATCCTGCACTTCCTTAGGTCGACATAGTATCTAAAGGTCTCAGAGTAATGCAAGGCTTTGTCCATCAACAGAAGTATAGCGCATCTTCTATCTACTCAATCAGGACCATGGAGGAACCCCCTGGGCAAACGCGAGCCAAGCAAGGGCCAGGCGGACCATCCCCAGATGCAGGACTCGGTACCAACGCTAGACGTACTGTTCTTTAAAATGCGACTGCTAAAAAGGGAACACGAATCACAAAAAAAAATACTCAGGGAGCGTACTAATTACAGTAGCAAGCCAGCAGAGCAATGCAAGGCTATGGCATTGAACCACCGTGCTGATCTAGTCCAAAAAGTCCCGATGTTGACCAACGGCATGCTTCCAAAGGTCCAGGTGACATGTAGTAATGTAGTATGAACGCAGGACATACCGTGGATGGAAGAAACATTGCACCACCTAGCACCCTTGCACTTCTGCCATACCTAGAGACCTACGGGACTTAAGATGGTGCAAGATTTCCTCCATCAATATTACTGTAGCAGATTCGGGTCCTTGGCCAAACTCAGAACCCGAGCATCAAAAGGCGCAAGGGTTTTGAGGCATTGTTTAACGTCGGGACCTGAAGTGGCTAACTTGCGACATCAATCCTACAGTAAGCCTGAGCTAAAGACATGTTGGGACGATGCTCTGTATAAGCCACACATTGTGTTGAGGGCTTCATCGTCTGCGCAGCTTCAATTGCACAAAAAACCTATAGGTGACATGTTCTATGAATACTGCCCTAAATTGACCCCATTACACTACACTAGTTACTGCAATCCTCAGTATTGGGACCCCACTTTCTGGCAGTTGAGCTATCTTGTGGCTAGGAAGCGTAAAGCAACTTTACGGACACAAAAACTTCAAAACTGCCCCCACTCAGTAACAGTCCATGATAAGGGAGTATTCAGGGCAGTATATATTGTTGTGGCAAGTGTCCAAGTAGTGCTGAGTAGGGACAGAATCCAAGCAAGAAAAACCTTATTCTGTGGATTTTGGAAAGTCGGGTCTCCCTTGCATTGCTCTCAAATCATCGGAATCGTATAACAGGAACCCCCCCCAAAGAGACTTAGATGTTTGGAAACGCTGTGGGTCATGCAGAGTTCCATACTGGTTGTGCCCAATCTTCAGCAGCCTCCTACCTTCGGCACTTTAAGGTTTAGGGTGGCGGTGTCCCAAATGCAGTATATAACCCGATTATGGTATATATTAGTTTCCATTTTCTTTTTCATTATCCCAATATAACCCCTATATAACCCTATCGTTTCTATTTTCTTTTCCATTCTCCCCATATCAGCTCCAAGATAAGCAAAGGAAAAACAGGACCCAGGAGGCCTTGGGCAACAAGCCTTTCTATCTCTCTCTCTCTCTCTCTCTCTCTCTCTCTGCTGGCTTGCAAAGCCGTGCTTCGCTGCAACCCTAAACCCTAAACCCTAAGCCCTTTCTATCGCGAGCTCACTTCTTGAAGCTTGGTGGGGAACGCGGGCGCATGCAGCTCGAAATCAAAATGCTAGGAGTCAGCATTGCCAAGGGATCTCCTGTAGCCCCCCAGCTATCTGCAGTTGATTAGCTCAAGGTAGGTGAAATATAAAACTGTGGGTAGCTGGGGTTACAGAGGTTTGAGAACTACGGTGAATAAAGCAGGGGGCACATCTGCTGGTATGCTTGGTACTGTTGAAATACCGAGGCCTGCACCCCGAAGAAAGGATGTACTCCCGCGGCCTACTAGTGAAGCACTCCACTGCTCACAAATATTGCTCAATCATTGAATGGCACCATGTATAATGACTGTTGTCATTAGGGGCGAGGCATGTTTTATGCTAGGAGAGAGGGATGCACCCAAGAATGTGGATTCCGCAAATTCACACCGTAGACAAACTCCCATCTGGACCCTAAACCCCTGAACCCTAAACCCTTAAACCTAAACCCATCTGGACCCTGAGGTGTTGTGTACAAGGCGCCTATCCATCGAGTCGCAAGGAGAGCAGAGCAACCAAGAACCGCCATTTCCTTGCTTCTTTAACTTCACCGAATTTCAGGGCAGTTTTCAACGGTGTCCCACATCAGCTCTATAGATAAAGACTGCAACAAGGTATCAATAAGCTGCCCACAACCTTAGAAGCTCGAAAGCCCAATTCTTGCTTTGGAATTCGTGGGGGGTGTGGGATGTATCAAGACTGACGGTTGGTGACAGGATCATCTTTTGGGGATGGTGGGGGTTCCCCCCTAAACCCTAAACCCTAAACCCATTCCGGCTGTCTGGGGGTTACGTTGAAGAAGCTCCCAAGTCTCGCAGCTAAAGAGATAGCTGTTGCGCTGCTTCCGTTGTAGAACCCATTCTGAAACAGCTCCACCGAAGCCAGACAGGGCAGAGGCGGACAGGATACCTCGTGGCCATCTGGAGTTTTCAAGGTGCACATTTTGAGGATAGTCGGCGAGTTGCAGGCTAAAGGCTTGGCCTTTATTTGGGAATTAAGAAGGCTCTTTCTGGTCATTCAGCCCTTTTGGGCGTTCCAAGCTCCAATGTCCAACATTATGTAAAATGATTATACCAACAGATGGAATCAAGCGAGAAGACAATGCAGCATGAGATGGAAAGCCTAGGTCGCTTTGAGGCGGGGGGGGTGTATGGGGATTCTAGGATGATAGGTTCAGGCTACGCCAATGGTTCACGCTTCAAGACATGCCGCCACCTATCGACAGGTTCACTGGGCATGTGCAGCGAAGTCCGTCGCGCACACATCCCTGCGGTCGCAGTGGGCTAGGCTATGATTTGTAAACATAAGAAGCCAAAATGCGCAGTGTTTGTTTACACAGGCAGGACCCGTACCCTCATAGATTTCGCTAGAGTACTGCAGTTGTCTTGCAAGCACCTTTTGAGGGTGCTGTGGAAAGATTGTGGAAGGTATCTGCATAACAGCCGACTTTGCTGTTGGAGACAGGTGGGCTTACAACACCAAAACCAAATCCCTTCTAAACTTCTTGCAGTGTTTTTGCCCAGACTACTACACGAATAAGGCAGAATGACTACACCCTGCAAATCTGGCATAACCTGGCCCAGATACACACGATACCCATCCAGAAGCTCTCAGATTTCGAGTTCTTCTGCCTGGGATCCCCAAAAACCTAACAACCTAGGGTAAAAGAAGTCTTCCTTGGGTTGGTATTGAAAGAATAAGCAAGCCCAAAACAGAGGAAAAAATGTTATTCTGGAGAACACAGCTGCTCAGAGCTTCTCGCCTCCGACAAACTGACCAGCACACCAGAGAAGGACAGCAGCACCAGCGCCAAGCACTGCACCTGAGGGCCACGCGGTTTCCGGATTTAGGGCAAGCTTTGTGGACCTTCCTAGGAGGTTAACTGATCTAGTGCAAGGGGCTTGGTGCATGGCTTTGGGCCTTAGGGCTTAAAGCTGTCCAAACGGCTACTAGTTGGACTACTACGAATTAATTATTGATACTAACAATGCTGCACTGCCCTAAGTACGGTGTACCCTAGCAACCCTGATGTTCTTGTATACGAGGGTCATGCTGGATTTCCAATACTACCAAAATAGCACCAGCTTTACTAGTTTGAGGCCAAGATTCATTTTTAAGCTCTAAGTTCCGCAAGCCGTATGCTCCACTTTGGGTACCAACTTTAGCACGTCTCAAGTTACAGGCCCTGATGTATAGAATGCATTAGAATGATTGCATCCAAGTTTTGGAAATTACTCCCCGAAAGACCTGCTGAAACGCCTTGAAATCACACCGCATCCTTTGGAGCAGCCTAACAAACAGTAGGGAGACTTCCCCAAAAAAGATGAGGTGTGGCAGATATTCGCCATGATGAACAAAGAAGCAGGCACCGGTGACTGCCGCCGCCCCAAGATCAGGTAGACAAACAAGGCAGTGAACAGCATCTTCGTCTGGTTCAAGATGTTAAAGACAAGGCCATCCAGCTTTTGGTAGGCCGCCTGACAGCTTGTGTCAGCAGTGAATGAAGCTAGCAAGAAGAACATGCATGATGGCGGGCATGTAGGGACTAGCACAGGGATTCTTTCATTCATTCCCCACCAACAACTACAAAGATTTCGTGCGTGACAAGGAGCCCCTCACAAATATGGGAGGAATATGATGAGCATATTAAGGACCCGACTCGGTACATTCCTATCATATTCCTACTATATTCTTGAGGTTCCTTCTATGGGATCCCGATCAGTTGATTCGAGATTAGAGTCCTTTCATATGATGGTGCCAAAATTGTTGGCTAGGCATATCACGAAACAATAGCGCTATCTGGGACAAACAGTGGAAGTATTGGAGGCTTTACATTGGGTAGAACCGTACCACCTGGCTTTGCTTCAGCTTTTTTACCTACCTGGGCGTTGCTGGTGGCTTGTAGACCACCTTCGAAGATGGCGCAACCCCTGATGGTTGGATCGTGGTGCCTCTATGTTGTACAACTACGTTAGAACAACCAGCGCTAAACATTGCGACCAGCCAGGACGGGAAGGGTGTAGTGCCTCGATTGAGGATGCCAATCCTTACGCTCACAGAAACCCAACTCTAAACCCGTAGCCACCTGTATACACAAGTTCTGGAGCAGGTAGGTCAGCGACGGAACACCAGCCGCCATCAAGAAGCCCTGGAAGGTCCAATCATGGAGGACTTCCTTTCAAGTTTGCAAGTGGAAGTTTTGGGACATTCAGGGCTTTTGGCTTTGCGTTTCGGAGACCAAGTTCGGTTAAAAACTCGAGGTTGTGGATTCTTCGTGTAGGGGCCCTGTAAGTCATCATGCAGGTCGGGGCATCTGAACCAACTTTGACCTCACAGTCCCCACAAAAGTAATGAAGGGTCAATTTTAGGAGGACCCCCCCCACCCTGTAATGACTGTAAGGGAGTATAAGGGTCAGACAGGGGTCCTCTACTTATATTCCTATTATACCACTATTACAGGGTGGGGGTCCTCCTAAGGTCAATGGTACCACCTTTCAGTCTTGAGGCTCGCTGTGTAGGGAAAGCTTACTTACCATTGTGTTAAGGTGTCGAAGTCGCAGGTTTTTCTGGGGCTCCTTCTTTGTAATCCGCCTTTGAACAGGATCAAGACACATCCTTCGTATGCCTCACCTAGCATCCCCAAGTTGTTGTTTTCCGAAGATCTTGGGCTCTTGGGGCAGTGGAAAGTTTCTTGAATCAACGACATGGTTTTAAGGACGTGGAGTTCTCAAATTGGTGCACATTGGGCGCAAACGTAAGCGCCCAAACAACCACTCTATATCTTGAAATCTAAAACTAGAAGCTGCGTCAGGGTCTCAGCGTAGGCGTAGATACACAGATGCATCCCTATCCTCCTACCTAAGTAAACACATGCCTACACGCCTACCTACGTACATACCTACCTACATACATACATATCCTATATACTGTAGTGGTTTTCATTTTCTTTTCCACTATCCTGATACAACCCAATTACATAAAATGTCCAGACATACCTCACTCTATTTCAGCTCTGAAGTCGACCATCTCGTCTGGAGTGCTGCCTGCTGTGCTCTATACTACTGACAGCCTTGGCTTAGCAAAGCCTTCACAGCCCAAGCACCTGAATGATGGTTCATTTGGGCCAAAATACCTGGATGAACAAAACAAACTACTGCGGTTGATACCTGACATCCTGCATGACCTTAGTATACAAGAATCCCACACTTCTCCAGGCACAAGGTGCCTAGGGTCATGTAGGTTCTCATAGGCAGTGGGATTTTTAAGGAAAACCTCACCCCTGGGCCGTCCTGAAGCTTGTCCTCCATCTTTAGCAGCGCCAAGCAGGCTGCAACCTGCACAGCTGGCAAGCACTTGTTGAAACATTTAGGGTTTAGGGCTTAAACCCTGAACCCCTAAACCCTAAACCCTGAACCCTAAACTCTAAATCCTAAACCCCAAAGGCTTCAGGAGGCCTTCCCTGAAAGTCTGGATCTGATCTAAGCTTTAGAGCTTTGCACTCCAAACCTCTCCTTGTGTTCTAGACATTCTGGAGGTTTCTGACTTCAGGACTTTGAGCTTGGTACAATTAGACCTGTGAAAGAAGGACTTTGGATGCAGGAATGATTTACATGATAAAGTTTCTGCGGCATGGGCACTGTCCTGTGAGGCTCAGATAACAAGGGCGACAAATATTGTGTGCCTGAAAGAGTAGGCGCCAATACTGTTTTGGAATATTAAGGCAAGGTGGTTTGCTTTCGCGGCCGGAACTTTGAATCCGTTGGACGGAGAATGCACATGTTGGGGGAAAACCAGTCCTGGTACTGCTTCCATCAGAAGCACAGTGCTCAGGACCTCACGGGACCACGTAGGGCTCTGAAAGCCCATACAACCCTTAATCCTAACAACCCACGTGGAAACATGCACAATAATCCCCTCCTCTAATAGTAAACCTAGCAACCCCATAGAACGGATTATGATGCAGACAAATACAATTTGGGTGCTGCCTCCACCCATTAACAGTCTATAATAGACGTCAAGGAAAGGGCTCCATATTATAGATTCATGAAACAAATGCTATCCAGCTGTAATGACTGCCTCAATTTGCTCTCGATATTCTAGGGGCCTTTAGGGTGGTTACACAAGGAGCTTCTGGGGGTTCAGGATATTACCTTCATCCTTAAAGGAGGATCCGTCGGGAAAGGGACTGGACCATGCAATGGAAAGTTGTTCTACGGAGGCTCTTATGAAAATAATTACACAATACTTACCTTTGGTTAGCTAGGAATGAAGGAATGGATCCTTATAGTCCCTATGCAAGCCACCTTGTAGTCCCTATGCAAGCCATTATAGTAGTTTCCATTTTCTTTTTTAAATCCTTCATTCCCAGCGAACAAAGAAAGAATATCAGGGCTCGATATTCCTTGTAGAAGGTACTTTCAATAGATAAACCTCAAATGATATTGGTTTTCGTTCGGCCTCGGATTTTGGCCCCTCTCCCTCCATCATGCTCTGCGTTAGAAACCCTAAACCCCAGCTGCAGGTTGACTTCTGCCACCTTTCAACTGCCCAGCATCATACCTTTGATGCTGGAAATCCTGCATGACCCTCAGTACCCTATACCTTAGAACTGATGGTGTTTAGTATGTTAAATTTATGTAGGATTGTGAACATCAATACTGGTTGCAGAGATTTCTGCCCCTGTATCAGGCACTTGAAGGGGCAAATGCGGTGTCCGAACTAGGAGCACCACAAAACCCGAAAGCCAGATGGTCAAAGGAAAGCATCGAAACAATGTCATGGAAATGCGTCGTTTTTACACGCCCGAGACCTTAAACCCCTGAACCCTAAACCCTTGAACCTTAAGCCCTGAAAACTCCTGAACCCACCCTCTAGCCCCGAGTACTCCCTGCTGTCCGCCTTAGCACCTTCGGCTCCCAATACTAGAGAAGGGACCTAAGCAGCGTGTTTTGGTGGCTGAAGCATGCAAAATTTGCAGAATACCATGACGAAACAGAAAATATGCTGTTACTCTAATCCACTCTCCCGCCCAAAACTCAACTCCCCCTACCGCCCCCTAATATTAAAATTCTCACAGTATATTGATATATTCCACAATGGAGGGTACTTAACATTAGCTGGGTGGTGGGTTTAATATTAGGGGGGAGCGGATTATGTTAAACTACAGATTTGCTTCTTCGTGATGCTAGTACTAGGGTTCAGCGGTTGGAAAGGAACTTGGCCGGCTTCAGGGTCAGGGTTTAGGATCCAGTTTTGTTCGACTGTGAGGATGAGAGTTTATGGGCTTTTGGTTTTGGGGATTTAGGGTTCCAAGCTGTAATTGACGGGCATCTGCTGTCTACGATGTATCGTATATACTAAGGTCTAATGATGGTTTACTGAGGCTTCAGCATGCGCCTTCGTCTTGATAAGCGTCGGCATGCATTGCCGCCCTGCTGATTTAACCGGGTCTGGGCTTGAGGTTTAGGGTTTAGGGTTCAGGGCTTAGGGTGTAGGGCTTGGGGTTTATGGGATCGATAGGGATTAGGGTTGTATAAGGTTTGTAAGTTATAGGGTTCCGGTTCAGGGCTTAGGAATTATAATAGCGTTTAGGAAGTAGGGTTTAGGATCTACAGGTTCAGGGGGCCCTAAACCCTAAGCCCTAAATCCTCTGATGTGCTCAGGCAGTTGGTCTGTGGGTCCATCTGTGCACTACCGGGCCTATCGAGCCATGAATTCCAAATAGCCACAGAAACCCTCTAAACTCAAAACCAACCTAGCTAAATACCAAAGCCTGACCCGAACCCAACAATCCCGCGAATGACCGTAAGTGGCCCTCTTTCACCCACAGGCGCAGCAGTTCCAGGGGCGATGAAGCGCCTGGCCAGCAGGGGCTGTGCGCCAAACTGTCCGGCGTGGAGGGCCAAGTATCCTCAGCCACTTGGAGGTCTAGGCGTGGCTTCATAAAGCTGTGACTGACTTATCATCACTTGGTGATGAGACGCTCAATTACCACAATAGATTTGAATGGGCGAATGAGTACTTAGGCTAGAATTGCAGTAGTGGTAGCTCTCAGCTATACACATTCGGCCATACCAACAGCTCGTTCGCGTCCAGTTCTTCGAAAGGAAAAGTTGTGGCTCTACGAGCCAATCTCTGGGACAAGGGATACGGTCTCGGGTTTTGCCTGCTTTCGACTTCAGAACCTACTTGTTTTCAAGTCATCTCCATACGGTGCAGACGATCAAGTCTGGGATGTTCTTGGGAGGAAAAGGTTGGGAGATGACCTTGATGATTGAGGCATTCTTTCTTCAACTTATGCCTCCTTGAAGTAACAGAGAACCCTGAACAGACGGTCCTATGAAGACTACGGTTTTACACGCCATGCCTAGTTACACATGCGTTGCTCGTTTTTGTTCAGAATCTAGGGGGAAGTAACTGGTAGGGAAGCAAGCTGTTGCATCGGCAACCTGGGGCCTCCGCTGGGGACGTTCATGAGGGGGCCTGAAGAAGCGGAAGTGGGTAATGAGGTACACTACGCCGTAATTCAAGAAGAGTATAAGGCAGTATATGAGGAATGTAAGGGAAAGGTGTTAACAAGTATTCAGGCTTCTACATTACAGCTACAGCATGTTGATTTTGTGGTTTAAAGATAAGAATACTTGTCAAACTGTAGCGTGCTAAGCCAACTAAGGACTTTGAAGCCAGTACCTTTGATGGAACCCAAGGTGGAAAGTCTAAACCCTAAACCTGTGCGGTTGTGTTCACCTTAGAAATAGGACTCTACATGCGGACCCGCAGGAATCTCAAGAATATACTAGAAATATAATGGGAGTATACCTGCAAGGGTCCTCAGATTCCCATTGATTCCTACTACATCTGTGGGGTTCCCTGGTGGGGGGGTTTGGGGTCCCCATCAGCGTCTTTGATTTCAACTCTGGATGCAAAGACCCACGCCCGGAGGAGAAGCATGTTTTCCGGCAGGTGAACCGAATAAGGTCATATTCCTTGATAGAGTATCCCAACCATACCATTCCACGCGAGACTATGAGACTCCAAATCCTAGCCCCAAAGCTCTAACCCCCAAAATGCAAAATACTCTTGAACCGTAACCGTAATATCTACCCCTCAACAAGAAACAACCATTCTGTTGGCATGTCG